AAATAAATGGGAAAAAAACGGCTTGAAAATTCGAATTCCGGACGAAGATTGGAAACCCATTTTTAAACTACCATTTCTCTGTACATTTGATTCCAGGCTGCAGGCATTTCATTATAAATTTTTACATAGGGCAATTTACACAAATAACACTTTGTGCTTATGGAAATTAGTTGATAGTACATTGTGCACTTTTTGTAACGCTGATATTGAAACTCTTGAGCATCTTTTTATTACATGTACTACCGGTATTACTAGAAGATTTTGGGGGAAATGTCAGCAACTCTGGAAAAAATGGACAAACCTTGATATTTTATTGTCTGACAGGGATATTTGTTTTGGAATACATGGCAGTTTTTATTGTAATCTTCTCAACCTTTTTATTTTAATCTGTAAACAGCACCTCTATTCTGAATCGAAAAGAGGTTCTGTCCCAAAGGTGGAAGTCGTGGAGAGTATAATGTTAAACACTCGCATTGTAGAGCGACAAATAGCTATCAATAATGGTTCAATGTCTAAATTTAATGAAAAATGGAATAATTTTAATTATGAGTAATTCACTTATTAGCCAGATTTGTCAGCTTATCAATAATGTTCCCCCACTTCCACTTCTTTTAAGCCATCCACTTTTCTTTTCTTTTTTTTGTAATTTTTTTTTTTTTTTTCTTTCTTTTTTTTTGTAAATGTATTTATTTAAAGTAATAAAAAATAGATATAAAAAAAAAACAAAAAAAAAACCACAAGTCCAATTGCTTTGATATCACATATATAGATACTTCATGTGGACCTTTCTCAGATTTGTACGATTGCGTTGATACTATACATATTGTTTATTTTCCAATGATATTTTCAGTTCTTTAATTGAAATGTGCATTGCTAACAGCGGAGCTATCTCAGCCGACAGGCTGCTTGTTTCAACTTCTTGTTAAAAACCGCAAGTCCAATTGCTTTGATATTACATATATAGATACTTCATGTGGACCTTTCTCAGATTTGTTCATTTTGTGATGATATCTTCAATTCTCTAATTTTGGTGAATATTTTTGTAATTTTTGGTAAAAAGTGATATTTTTGAATTCTTGTTGAAAACCGGAAGTCCAATTGCTTTGATATTATGCATATAGGTCACTACATGTGGACCTCTCTCAGATTTGTTCATTTCGTGATGATATCTTTAATATTTTTGTCATTTTTGGTGAAAAGTGATATTTTGGAATTCTGGTTGAAAACCGTAAGTCCAATTGCTTTGATATTATGCATATAGGTCACTACATGTGGACCTCTCTCAGATTTGTTCATTTCGTGATGATATCTTTAATATTTTTGTCATTTTTGGTGAAAAGTGATATTTTTGAATTCTTGTTAAAAACAGCAAGTTTGATTGCGTTGATACTATACATGTTTATTTTCTAATGATATCTTCTGTTCTTTAATTGAAATGTGTATTGCTAACAGCGCAGCTATCTCAGCCTGTTCATTTTGTCATGATATCTTCAATTCTCTAATTTCGATGAATACCAGGTATTTTTGTTATTTTTGGTAAAAAGTGATATTTTCGACTTCTTGTTGAAAACCACAATTTTCAAATGTGCATTGCTAACAGCGGAGCTATCTCAGCCGAGAAGCTGCTTGTTTTAAAATGCTATTCTGGTTCCATATCTCTGACATGCCTGGGCTGATTGTGGTTCCTTGTAATAGTACATCATAAGATATTCAATTTTTTTCATATTTGTGAATAACAATCAAGAGACGATTTTTTTTGGAAATGATAGCTGACAATATGCAAATTAACTTATTAAGTATTTTTACCTTGCCCGTACCATCAAAGATGGAAGGGAAAGGTATATTAATGGAAAAATTTTGTCCGGCGTTGTCGTCGTCGTCGTTGTTGTTGTCGTTGTCGTCGTTAATAATTGTTATTGTGTGCATAATAACTTTACTAATTCTATTCCAAACTTTATCAAACTTGGTCACCTTATTCATCAGTATAAAGTCTTCCCTGAGTTTGAACAACAGATGTCCTGTATGAAAATATCATGCAAAAATTGAGAAAATCTGATAAAATATTTTGACTGTTTCTACTTGACTGATCACTGGTGATACACATCAAAGGTCACTGATCTCAGTGGAAATATGCATTGTTGTATGTGTTCAATGAAGCAAATGATTTATCTTGTAATAATATCCTTGGTAATGTATCTCAGAATCCCATACTGGGTTTCAAAACCAACTCATG